ATGGGAACGTGGCTATGAGCTATGTCATTAAAGAAAGCGCCGTGCAGCTGGAAAATCTACAGGTTTCTATTTGAAACTCTGGCTCATTGGCAGACAAGGACGCAGAGCAGTGGACTGAGAATGCCTTTTCAAAGACGTTTTCTTCCAAGTCCCTCCAACATTTCATGAGAATCATATTAATCCGAACAACAGGACGTCTGTTGGAGGAAACAGTGACTTTCAAATCCCGTTAGCTGTGTGTGTTTTTCCAGACAGCTAACGCAGCCTCCTGCCAAACAGCTTAGACGCTGCAGTCTTATTTTTAGATTTTATGACCAATATTGAATTCTAACCCAAGATATTTCCACCGGGGGTGACTTGAGATGTCACCTCAACAAGCTCACCCTACAAGCTAAGGCTGCAGTTGCGATCGGATCACATCACATGGCTGGACGAGGACATCGGGTACATTTGTTCACTCCAGGTGATGAGAGATGCGATTTAGATTGCGTCTGCGTGCAAACGTCGCTAACATGATACAAAGTAGGCGAGCATGTGTTTTACTGAGAGGATTTATGAATTTATACAACCACTTAAGTCACAAAATCTCTCCTAGAATCTGTGGACGTGATAAATCTCTCAGTGACGGACATAATAAGTCATTCGCTGTCACTTATTATCCCAGACTTGTTAATCTGACTCCTTCTACGCCACTTCTACGCCGTTTTATTTAGCTCCTCTCATAGGGAGGTGACACTTTTGAGACACCAGTGTGATGAATCCTCTGACTGAGTCATGGTTTAATCCTAGCAGCTGACATGTAATGCAAGGCAAATTCAGTTTGTGTGCTGCAGGCTCAAGACACAGACACAAAGACACACCTGGTTCCTCACGTTTTACTGAGACATTGTGACAAAAAAGACTAATTTTTGACTAGTTGTTACGCAAAAGAGAGAAAACCTTTTACAAGACCAAACAGAGTCGATATGAAGGAAAGAAGAAAAAGAAGTGTGTCTATTTGACATTCCACACGTACGCACTCAAGGTGTTGCTCAGCACACCTGATGTGAAACCTCCAATTACAGGTTCAAACAGTTTATCCACCCATAATCTCTACTAGTCTATTTGGTCTAAATAAAACCTGACTGTTGGTACTGTAATGTTAATGCATCAAACACCAACATTCTATATTGGAGTTTGTATATACAGTATATATACATAAATATATTTGTCTACAGCCAAATAGACACATATATATTTATATATAGACTTTTTGACAGTTATGTTATCAATTGCTTTGTTATCTGTTGCTGCAGAAGAAACACTTCCTGTTTTTTGAGTTGACAAACTCTTCTCTCTTTATTTTGAGGAAGGTTGTCTTTTGAGGAAGAAGCCAACACTTGTCATTTCCTATGGTTTATGCCTGGTGAAAGGTCAGAGTGTGTTGTGTTGTACTTTCATAAAAGTGTGAGGAACGTTAACAACATATCTGTTTTACACTCCTGCTCATCATAGACAACTGCAAATTTATAATCAAACGCATCAATTATTAATCCAATTCAGTTAATTTGTAACATTCAGACCTTAAATTAGTTCAAGGCCTTATCACCTAAAGATAAAGGTTTTGACAGTCAAAGGTCAAAGTGCCGTGGATTTAATCTTCCCTAATTTAAAGTGTTACCATACATTATTAATCTCTGTAGGAGGACAAAGGGACAAAAGTGTCCCTTTAAGTTGTGTGTGATGTTACAGACAGGACGGTCTGACCCCCATCTCCACTCCCAGGATGTTTTCTTCAGGCCTCCCAATTGGGATTCTGGTAGCCTACATTCCCTGCCTCAAGGTCGGCGGCAGTGACAAATTAAATTACTTACTCACCTGTTTCGCGGTGTTGGCGCCAGGTCAACAGCAAGTTGGCTAAAATGATGAGTGCGGGATTCTGAGGGTAGCTGCATTATAGGGGCTCAATGCTGTGGTGTCATGTTTGCAAAGCAAGGACCTGCAATGAAAAGAGCTGAAATCAAAAGCAGTGTATTAAATTCTGCCTCTGTAATCACTTGCAAAAAAAAAAAAAAATCAATTACCCCTGCCTCCAAATGCACCACTTTATACTGATGTCCTTTCGGTTTACCCTGCTGCTGAAGGATATCATGTGCTTTGCAAATGGAGGGAAGCTTCAGAGCATTACACTTCATTTTATCAAACTCAGACTACAAAGCACCCCACCTACGGGCTCTTTTGTGCTACTACAAACAGGAGCTATTTTTAACTGGAAATTAAAAAATAAAAACTTTTCCTGAACCACTCCTACAACCGAGGTGTATTTTGCCATGTCCACAGTCACATCTCATGTCAGGCCTGTCTCAGCTGAAGGGCTTGGAGTTTATCTCCCTGCAGCTGCAGGGTTGGTTATCAGCAGGCAAACAGCTCCAGCAGAACAATGTAGAATAGGAGGAACTGAGGGTGACACAACAAAGAAACTGACTTAGGTCCAATCTTATGAGAGGTGAGAATATTCTCATATCGGTGTGATGAAAATGAACTTCTAATGTGTTTTATTATCCATCCATGCAGACAATTAAGAGTTTCTATATTCTACAGACACTAAAACGAATGCAGTGTTTGCCTTTCTAACCCCCTTTCCTTGAACTGAAATTACTGAAGGCACACAACACAACCAAGATGTAACTTCAGCACTTCCTGTTTCAAAACCACAGTACACATGACACCATCCTCAACGACATTAAAGGAGAGGATGTGACTTGAGAGAGGAAATGCTAAAGATTTGCTAATCTGATGAATGCACCATTTTAAAACACTTTAAACTTGAGGGTTCATAAATACAGACTAAACGTTAGGGTTTTTTTATTTTATGTTTTGATTCTGTAACATGAGAATTTATTTATGTAAAATACAGGTGCATCAAGAGTGAGCAGCAGACACTGTTGGTTTTTTTTTTCAATGGAACTAAAGCCATTATTTTCTACAGGCAAACGCTACAGTTTATACCAGTAGAGGTCAGTACAACAATACATACGAATTGCTTCGGTCAAAACACAGCTAATATCATCATACCAAGTGGAATAATATTTCGTTTTAATTAAATTCCATTTCTTTCTTTCTTTTCTCTTTTATAACACATACAAAATATATGTAATTTGCATGGGAACATTTACCAAAGAAAGATGTTTCAAATGTTTTCTTCTACGTACTGATATGGCAGGAAGCAAACAGGACTGAAGGACAAGAGAGACTCTTCAAGTGCAGCAGGTTTATTTACGAAGCGCAAAGTCACAAAAAAGTGACTGGGTCGCAGGAATACCGCAGGGCCCCAGGTGACACGGGTGAGGCTGATCACACTGATTAGCTCCACCCAGCTGACACAACAGGAAGCAGACAGACCTAACGGCTGGGGCTGTTTCCGTGTGGTTATGGGTTGCACCCAGTTTTGTGCAGTAGTTTTGAAACAAAAGTTTATTTCATACAATTAATAAACATTTATGTAAATTGAGCAGAATAAATATGTTATAACCTTGTGAATGCTTCGCTGCTTCAAGAATGTTTAATGTCTGCACAAAATTTAAATTTGGTGGATGATAAAACAGTTTTGAAACTGCCTTAAATGACCCATGGTCTTCATTAGAGTTATTAGTGGTTAATGCAGTAATTAAGACAGAAACTATACATAAGCACTTATAGAAATACTGTTGAAGTTGAAATGATAGTCAAGTATAAATAAATGTTATCACACTGGGAAGCAGTTCAATCAAAACGCTTAATGTTTTTGATTTTCTACTTTTATGTATATGTTATGCGGAAATATAAGTGGATGGCAGCACCATGGACAGCAACCAGAGATCGCAACAATATATATATATATTTAAATACCTACATAGGTATGGGATACATTTTATTACTACAATTCTATAGTTTAGTAAGTTCACAGTGTCAATAGAAATAAATGAAAGAAATGTACACTGCTGTAAAACATACTGAAAAGTAGTCGGTGAGTTATAAATTCAATAAATATGAGTTTGTAATACTTCAATTAATGTTTTGGGCTTTATTTCATTTCACAAATATCAACTCCTGCTACGTATATCTACAAAAAACAGGCAGGCATGACCCAAATGCAACACACAGATAAGATCAGGAGCAGGAAGTTTATTAAACATGTTCAAAGAGTCATGTGACATATCCTACATTGTCTGAGTAACAATAGACCCATTTTGCTTGATGTTAATGTATGTTTCAACCAGTCTGTTGCAGTTTGTTCAAAATATGTATTTCTGGTTAAATCAATCAGTCCAATTATTGTAATCCTTCAGACTGACGGAGAAAAAAAACCCCAAGCACAAACAGAGGAACATGCAAGCTCCATAAACCATCAGTTACAACCAGGTCTGCCATGTGACCTGGTTAGACTTCACTGTTCATCTCCCTTCACATCCAAACCAGGAAAAACATTTTTATTCAGAGTTCATACTTTTCCCTGTAAAGCTGTAAAGGCGACCACTCTGTGCCTCGGTGCCCAAAACTGAGTCAAACTGCCCAACAGACATGTCTTTATGAGCCTGGCTTTGTGCACTGCAGCACATCAGGGTTGGAACAGACTGGGGCCTTTCCCCAGAGACTGCCAAAATGAGAAGTGTGATTTGTTACTCAAGAGTGTGTTTGCACTTCTCCAGAGTCCAGTGGTCACTCCATCTGAGGCTTGGGATTACGCCACTTACAGTAAATGGGATTAAAAACAAAACAGACAGATAGAGGGGTATTTGGAATATATTATTACAGGCAAAGGATCAGGAGGGAGTTTATGCCTGACTGTAATTCTCATTCAGAAAAAAAACTGCTCTGTAACTGTACTGTACATAGTCTGCCATCTTGTGGCCTGCAGTGGTTCTTAAACATTTCAGTCACACTACATGATGGATCTGTCATAAAGAAAACTAAATATCATAATATATGTTGCATATTCCAAACCTTGTTTGCACAGTCAAAAAGGCAGGCAGTGACAGTGATAATTATTAACTTGCATAATGTATGTTTATTATCATTTTATGTAAATGTATAACGTCATAGTAGGGTTCAGGTAGGGTATTTATTTATTAGAGATTGATTTTACAAACAACAGATTTGATGCGAGAGCCACGAGTCAGGAATTCATAACAAAGTGACAGCTACAACAGATGAAGGAATGCAGCAGATGTTTTCAAAAATACTGGGATTACAGACTTCATAAAACCGTTTCTGTGATCATCTAGTGCCATGCTTAGATCGTATTACACTGAGGTAAGAACAACCCTCAAGTCTGCCTTAACAATTATTCATACAGTAGTTAGGCCAACATATTGTACTTGTGTCTCATTGTCAAGTATTTGATTACACTGGTGGTTATACATTTTAGGTATATACTTATAATGGATTGCTCATTTCAGACTATTTCAGGGAGAGCTGATTCCACAGGGCTGGATGAACTGTTTGGTTCTGGGTTCTGAATCGGAGACTGAATAGGTCTGGCCAGTTCCTCCAGCTGAGTCATAAAACTCTCAACCTCTTGGGCAGAACTGTGAGTCCAGGCCAGAGGAAGGTGGGCAGGGATGGCCTTGCGATCTGCATCAGAGAGGGAACAGGAGCAGGCGACTGTGATGACCAGAATTTTCACTCCACGGGAGTGAAAATGAAAATGAAAATGACTGTTATATTTGTCCTACATAAAAAAAAATTGCTCAGGTTTCACCTTGAAAGAACTGTCCACTGCGTGTTCTGGCAGCAGCTCTAGACACGGCCAACCACACGACAGTGTCGGCCCCCTGCTCTGCAGTCCTCAGTCTTTCCCCCATCATCTGGTGGAACTGAGGCATTGATTTAGAAACAGCTGGAAACAAGATTGAAAAACATCGATTGCAATTTTTTTGAATTAAGAAAGCTTGGAGTATCACTAAAAATATTTGGTCCTGTGAGCATCAGTAAGTTTCTCTCTGTATTCCTTTTCTGTTAACAATGACCAGGACATCCTCTAAATACTTACCGGTAGATGCAAATGCAATGATTTAAATCTGGCTGTAAAACCCACAGACGAAGCAAATGGACGCTGCTACAGTATTAGTGTTTACCTGGTGTATCCACCCAGCCTGGGTGCATCACAGAGAAGTGTATGGCAGGGTGGACTTTTGCCCACTGTCGCGTCAGCACCACCTGCTGTCTCTAAGTGGAAACAACACCACACATGTTTCTCTTCATTTTAAATGTATTGCAGTGATATACGTGATGGTAACCAGCTACCTTGTTCTGAGCATAGACCATGGTCCCGTCAAAGTTATCCATCTCAGACTGCAGATCATCCACTCTGAGTTTCTGGACCAGCATGCCCCCTGAGGACACAGTGATCTAACAGGAATGGAGGAAAGGGGCAGTGTGTGTTTAGACAACAGCCACTTCAGATCAGACAAAAGTGCCATTCTGCCATTTCTGAACACTGAACACTGTTTGTTGTGTTGTGTTGACCAGTGTGAGTGTGTTTGTACCACTCTGGGATCCCGGCTTTTCAGTAGAAGTGGTATGAGGGACTGGGTAAGGACATACATGCCTAGAAACAGACAGATAGAGAAAAAACATTCAAGGGGTTTAGCTGTGGTTTTACATTTAAAGCAAAAATAAAATAAAAAAAACAATTAGGTATATATATATATGCCCCACCCATTGTATTGGTTGCAAAATTCTTCTCCAGTCCCTCGGTGTTCACTTCTCTCTGGTGCACCATGCAGCCTGCATTGTTTATCTGCCATTTAACATAAGTTCAATTGAACAAATGACCAGTTTTAAATCAGGAAATTGTCGGTGAAGTAAGCCTTAATTGGTTAATACCTACCAACACATTCAATGATGAATGCTTCTTTTTGAAGTCCTCTGCAAACTCCCAGACTTTCTGGGTTTCTGACATGTCCAGAATATGCACATATACTTCCTAAAACACAAAGGTATGTACTTTTATCAACAGCCTGTTTGAGGAATTTAAATTGATTAACATTAAATAATAAAGTCATAAAAAAAGTATTTTAGAACAGTGTGATTATTATAATATATGTGAGCAGATATTGATTTTCCCAACTTTTTATACTTATTTTTAAACATGTCAAAGAATTGTAAACAAATTGGTCACAGAAACTATGCTAAAAAAATAAGTGTAACATTACTGCGGTCAAATAATAAGGAAATATGTCTAATCAGCTAACAGCTTGGTGATTTGTGCACTGGAGGGTTGTGGACTAACAAGGAAGACTTTGTATGTGGCCTAAAGTCTGGCTGGGGGCCAGTGAAGATGACTGGGTGTAAAGATGGTGTGCATTGTCACTTATTCCCTGTGTGTTATCAGTCAAACAACACCTACTGTATTCCCAGAGTCATTAACAATGTCCACTCTGGCCTGTTCTGCTTTATCTTTGTCCCGACAAACCATATGAACAGTCCCACCTGAAAACCAAATCACCAGGCTTTTATACCGGGTCAGGACAAAACACTTCAAAATGCAGCAAAGATAAAAATTGTTTAATTTCTGCCACATACCTTTTTTGGCTATCACCATGGCGGTTGCCCTGCCAATGCCACTGTTAGCTCCCGTAACCATAAAAGACCTTCCTACAACAGACACATCCAAGTGTAGAGGGTTGAAGTCCTTAGATGCTGCTTCAAACCCTTTCCTGGGGGCACAAAGCAAACACATCGTTTTTGTAGTAATTTTTCCCCCCATACCGTACAGAGAGCAGACATTCACGGTAACACGGTCATGCTTCAATAATGCCAAAAAAGAAAAGAAAAAAATTACAGTAATTTTAACCAAGGTTTCTAGATAATAACCAAAACAGACAGAGCATTCCAGCCATATTTTGCTTTACTCTACTACACTTGTGTAGTAGAGTAAAAATGTAAATGTAGGATTAATACTTACTATACTCTAGGGTACTAACCTTGTATAATGATGTATTCCGTTCAGAAACCATAGGGTGGTTCGATAAAGAGACATTGTAGCAACAAACAAACAAATAACGAACCAAAAGATGTGCAAAACTTCCCAGGACCTTGTCAACCACTGTGTCAGATCAGAATCACGGGGCTGCAGTCAGAGATGGCAGAAGCCTCAACGCTGCTCTCTGTCGTCTCAGCATCGCAACAACACTACAGACACAGTGCAGCAGCAGTAAAAATTGATCACCTCATTCATTTAAAATCCACCTTCTGTACACACCAGGTGGAGGGTCGTTAAAAGCATGAATGGCATGTCTCCATTGACAATTACCAATCAGATGGCAATGGCGTTTGGTGACGCGTCCAGCAGGCACCGTTGGTCACGTGAGGAGGGGTGGAGTTAACTCACTGAGTTACTGACTACTGGTGTTGAGGGCGAATAGATATGCGTTAAACCAGAAGTTCGGACCCTTTTTTGAGGGTTAAAGTTATTATATCGATAGAATTTTTTTTATAACTTTTTGATAGTATTTTAACCATTTTTTTTACCGTTGAAATGGTAAGTACTCTCAGACTTTTCCATTCTACGCATGTCTGTAAGCCCGTTTACCTGTTACACCTGACATGTAGCTAAAGCTAAAAAACTACATTTCTGATCCACTTTCTGGACATTTAAGATCTGATTAATTCTTGTCTGGCTTTGTAACAGCAGTATAAGACGCTGTATGTGGATTTTATTCAGGGTTTCTGTTGTCATTTGTCTAGATCTCATTCAAACTGGTGTAAGTTGTACGTTTCCCTGAAGCTACGACCTGGTTAAACAGGTTTCGTCACTTCAGGTGGAGTGCAGCCATTGTAATTCTTTGAATAATTTGCCTAACACCTAAACTAAGGAGATGAGCTTTAGTGGGTGCATGTCTTATCTGGCATAATTTAACTCAGTGTTGTTAAATTACCACTGCTGTTTTGAATCGCTCAGCTAAACGAATGCAGGCACAGTCCTAGTAAACGCATTGATATGATGTCATTTTTTTAGCACACTACCGATGTCATTGCCTACTACTAGCCAAGGATCCTGAGGGGAAATAGTATTTTCCTGTCAAAATTATATTTTATACATTTTATTGTAGAGTATACAACAATTCACATTTATTGTATACTAGTCTACATAATTTAATGACTAAAAAGACCACAGGTTATAAACAAGGGCTTGACAATTGACTTAATGGCAAGACCTAGAATGAAGAAATATTTATTTGTAAACAGGACTTGACAATAGTTGAAGATGATGCCAGAAATGGAATCAGAAAAGATCCAAAACAAGAGATCCACCCTTGGTGGCTGTCTGTTTATTCTAAAGTGCAACTCCTTTAATGTCTTTCTCGATCACCTTCACTTAAGTAAAACCATCCAACTGTGACGGGTCCAGAGGTGAAGCATTTTTCAAAAGCTTTCACAGACAATTAGTTCTCCTTTTATAGTATCTGGGAGAGAGTAAAGAAATACTGACCCATGTAAAAAAAAATGCTGATATTTTAACTACAATGTTTTTAACCCTAACCTTAGATATTTGTCTCAATAGTTGTTGATACGACTAAACAAATGATTAGAAATGTTATATTTATATAACTGTCCAAATTTTTCCAATTTCCTAAAAAGATAATATCCATAAAATGGACATTTCTTTAAGGGCCAGCTCTGTAACATGGTCAGTGGACAGTTGAAGGTCTGTCATGGTGCTGCATCTCAGGCACCACTATTTTTTCATTGTCACCAGCAAAGCACTGATATTAATAGAAAAAAAGCATCACCTGGTTTTAAATGTTGAAGGAACCTGAAAGTCCTGTTTGTAATGTAAACCTGTGGTAATTCTGTAGTGTAGATGTATACTTGATCTGTCAGCTGGTTGAAAAGCAGCATTTCCTCCATTGTTGTTAGCTGCTGATCAGTTCCGAAGAATGTAGAACCAAAAACTCACCTGTCTTCAAAAACAGCTAAAACAAAATCACTCCCAGTCTTCAGATCTTAAATCACTTGATGTGCCTTTCTTACCCGAACAATGAAAGGAAGATTCCAAGTAAACAGTGGGCCATTTTTGTTCCAGTGGAAGTAGGAGAAAATGACTCCATTTTGATGTGAAGCCAAATCTTGCAGCAATTCTAGGAAGCACATTCTACAAACATCCAAAAAGGGAACCTTAAAACTAATCTGATGTATTTTTCCTCCACTCCTGTCAAGTCAACTAATATGTCAAGCTGAGACTCTAGGGAGTGATCAATAGTGGAGAGAACTCACTATCAGAAAAATGGGTCTTGTCTGCTTCCTGAGTCTCCTGAACGTGACAGAATATATAAATATAATGGCTGAATATCAGAAAATTTTACAAAGTAAACAATTCAGTCTGTTGGATTTGAAGAAACCTCCTGGATGAGAGGTGAAATGTGTTCAAGAAACCGAGACAGTCCATTTGCCTTCTACTTCAGATCAATATGAATGTTTTATAGTATTTTGCATACTATTTTTATAAGCACATTCTAAATCAGCAAAGTGCTTTAATTTGTGTGTTCAATGTATGATCAAGTCAGTGATTCTCAAAGTGCGGGGTTGATCCTAACTGAGGCGCACAACAATTGCAGCGGGGGCCACAGCCGGGCAAATTTCAAGTGTGTTCTTTATTTATTTTTGCCACAGTAGGAAAGAATGCACTAAAAGAGATCAATTACAGTTTAATTAACCATGGCAGCAGCGTGTCACCTCTTTGACCCTTTGTCTGATTCTATTGTAAAGTGCAGTGCAGGTTAATGAATCCCCCGTGTTTGTGCATGTATGTGTTTAATATTTCATTCTCTATATCCCTGTCTGTGCACTTGTCATGATCTAACCCTCTGCTGCACCCGTCCTCACAGATGCGCTTCCTGCTACTCTTCAGTCGTCAGGGGAAGCTGCGTCTGCAGAAGTGGTTCACGCCTATTTCAGAGCGCGAGAAAAAGAAGATCATCAGGGACATGACCAACATGGTGTTGGCACGGCAACCGCGCTCATGTAACTTCTTGGACTGGAAAGACCTTAAGATTATTTACAAGCGGTGGGTGTTGGTTAACCTGCCGGAGGTCGAAAGACCACCACTGTTTCAGTCCCTGTGCGTTCATCATTCATCTCCCTCAGCCCCTGTTAAAAACTTCATGTTTGCTTTGTCCTCAGATATGCAAGCCTGTATTTCTGCTTGGCCATAGAGAACCAGGAGAATGAGCTGCTAGCATTGGAGATCATTCACCGCTATGTGGAGCTGTTGGACAAATACTTTGGCAATGTATTTCACAGTTTCTCCTTTGATCATGCAACTAAGGTTTTATATTTATTAAATGTTTATTATATCATGGTCACTGCAGCCTGTTAATATAAGATTTAACAGCAAGTAAAGCATGTAGGATATGAAGGTAGGTCAAAGTAGGAGTTCTACCACAGATGTTAAAACACAAAACATATTTGGTCAGATTTCTTATCCTTTCTTTCTGAAATTACACACACCAAATTCTCCACCAAACTTGAAGAGAAACCCCTTGAAATTATTCACGCTTTGGTCATAAATGTGGGTCTGCAGTCTTTCAATTCAGGCTAATTCTGGTAAGGCTTTGCCAAAGAGTTGATCGATGCAGTAAAAGGCCTATTGATTACTCGGATCCTAAGATTGTATTTATTTTTTGCCTCCTATTTTTTTATATCCATTTCTTTTGTCAGTCTCAAAGGGTGCAGGCAGGCTATTTTTTTATATCCATTTCCTTTGTCAGTCTCAAAGGGTGCAGGCAGGGCCAAAGATCAGTTTATTCTGCACACACACTTTCACATTGCCAATAAAACCAACATATTTACCATGGTATTTCCTCTAAGGTGTGTGAGCTGGACATAATCTTTAACTTCGAAAAGGCCTATTTTATCCTGGATGAGTTCATAATAGGAGGAGAGGTACAGGAAACCTCCAAACAGATTGTGAATCGCTCTATTGAAGCATCAGACATGTTACAGGAGGTGAGTCGCACCAACACACGTAAACACACATGCAAAACACGAGGTGTGACTTGAATCTTTGGTGTGTGCATGCAACATCTGCTGCGTGGTTCTGTTTAATTCTAGAAAGATTCTTGTTACAAATTAGGTGTTGGGTGATGCGGCACTAAAGGATGTGATCACGATATTAACTCAGACAAACTGCTGTCGACAACCGCTGAATTTGACACATTCTGAATACAAAAGTCAAAAAAACGCTCGTCAAGTTCATGTGTGGCTTCTTTATCAACCGTCATTTTATCATGATCACATTTGAGCCCTGTTTTATGGCTCAGCCCTATTGTTAATAGACTTCAGGTGTGTTCACATCATCCTTAATCTTGGATTTGGGTTACCTAGAGAGCTCTAATTGTTTGAGACCAATTTTAATTTTATTTTGCTACAAAACACTGAACATAAATGCTGTATCAAGCTCCGGTATGAGGGAACTTGTTTCAGTTTATTTGTGTGAGTGTGAATTTACCAGCCAGGCTCGCTCGTAGCCAGTGTCATAATGAGTTCAATTAACAGTGGTGCTGCTGAGTCCCTTGTGTGCTTTTTGTCTTCTGCGTAGCTAATAGGCTTTCAGATGATAGCTGATGGTACTTTTTCATGGATGTGTGTTCCTGCTGTGTTCTTACATGTACTCTGTGGTCTCTCTCTCTCCCCATCTCTCTCTCTCGCTCTGCCAGTGTTTATTGCCAGTGAGGGATCAATCTCCCCGCAATGTGACGTAGCTTTTAGTTGTTAGCTTTTCTTGTGTTTCTGGTTGTGCCTGCAGGTCCGTGGTTCTACGTGGTTCTGTGTGGTTCCGTAATTTGACTTGGGTGTTCTTGCTTGTCCTACTTAAGTAGCGCTGACTAACACTTTCACATTCAGAGTTGGATTATCTGCAGTTTAGCCTGCATTCATTTTGACCATTATCGCTTCAGGATGACAGCAGTGAATGGTATGAGGTGGAGCTGTTTGGATGACCTTGAATATGGACAGAAAGGTTAGATGTTGTGCTTGTGTTAGTCACCTATAGTGTGTTGGTGTGCTCAGCACTGTGATAACGGGGGAGGTTGGGTGTGTGCCAGAGAATATTTATTGTACCATGGTGTACAACGGGACACCGGGGACCTGATCTGTCTTTCTGCCTGTGTCTTCTTTCAGACCATGGAGGAGTATATGAGCAAACCTGCGTTTTAACTCCCTGGGAAAAGAGACAAAACTGGAAAAGGAAGGCAGCATACTGATGCACTGTAAATGACTAAACACTTAAAAAAAAACCACAATGTGTGAACATCTGCTAACATTCTGCCTTAAGCATTGCTGCAATGCAACTTTATTTGAGAGTTCATTTGTTTCTCTTTAATTTATGTGGGAAAAAAGTCTGAATTTTTTAAAAGTGAATATATTTAAAATAAAATGAAGTAGAGATAGGAGGCTGGGGTTCAGGAAAATGAAAGGATTTAACTGATCCAGGATCAGTGGTTTTGTTGCATTTTGTGATTCTGAAGATTCTTTTAATATGTTGGAAAGGTTTGCCACGAAACACTCCACTGTAAGTGGACTCTTTTGTCAATGTTTTGCAACATATTTGCAGGTAATTCTCAAATGATACTTGATATTTATAATAGTGAATAACTCTAACTACTGAATTAGATTATGAAGAATTGTGTGCTGTTTTCAGTCTGTTAAAGATGAAGTGTGGGATCCACTGTCTTTGAAGGAACATTTGCTTCCATGTGTTTTATAAATACTCAAGATGTTAAAATGTATGGATAAAATATGTATTTTGATAAATCTTCTTAATGGAGTAGTTTTTCCAACACAGTTTGATTAAATTCATGTTTAATTTGCTATATGAAATTTCATACAGCCACATTAGACAAGTCTAGTAAATAAAACTCTGATCATATAACTGCCGACTATAGTTGAATATATTTCAGTTTTAATAAGGCAACATGAGTCAGCAAGAAAAAAAATAATACAGCTGATGCTTTATTCATCTGTGAGTCATCACACAAGTTTCGAACATGTACAAAATGATTTAAAAATGAGCATACGTAACACAACCACTGGCAGGCCAACAATACAGTGCTTTGCAGTATGAAAGGGTTGGAAGGCAGGCGGCGGTCTGATACTTAGACTTTCAAATGATTATCATAGTAATAACATTAAATCCACTATTACCCTGAATATATAAGGAGTCACGAAAACACTTGTCCTGCAGCCCAGCTCGTTGTTCTATGGAAAAAACAGCTCTAAAATCTTCCTTCAGTGCTCCTGTCATTGTACTGTGTCTTTGTTGTTAAAGGCCCAGTCATTGTTATACTGTAGTTTACATGTATATTATCCACAGATGTTAGTCTGACATGAAAAATAAGCATTTTGTTTTACCATTAAGCAGCTGATTATAGTTGAAAATATAGACCTGCTTACAAACATCATTAATGTGAACAAATTTTTACTGACATCACAAAACGTAAGTAACTTCAATTGTTCATGTGGATTTAAATCAGTCTTTAATTAATTCATTAGCAACCAATTAAAGTGTTCTGAGGATCCTTTTCTATAGTTTGTGTACGGAATGCACCTATAATTAACCTATTATATCAATGTGACATTTCTGAAATGTTTTTGCAGCAATTAGGGACTATATATATATATATATATATATATATATATATATATATATATATTCAAAAACACAAAAATATTGAACCTTTATGGTTGATATTGTTCATTTTCATAAGGGTGACAGTATACCAGCTATATAGTTCATAATAGAAATTTGTAAACTAGATCACGTCCACCAGACTTTATTTTTAAGACAGTATAAATACTATATTCAGAATTTCGTGCGTTTTCCTGCAGGGTGTCAGGCTACATCCCGGCCGCTGTCATTTCACGGCGCTCCCCTTCGTCATTCACGGTCTGTGGAGCCGAGGTCTTGGCCGCAACCTCCTCTCTCCCCTGCATCTCCGTGGGAGTCACCCTCTCCTCCGTGGCCACCTCGGTGTCCCTCTTAGCCAGCGGCCGCTTGACACTGTCCACCTGCCCCAGGTAGTCCTTCATGGCCCGCTCGTACAGCTCGTAGGGAAACTGTTGCGCCTGGGTATCCCTCTTGGAGATGGTGTTTGGGTACTCTGTGAGAATTTTGGCCGCCAAGTAGGTGGTCACCTCGTCTTCCACGTCCCCATCGTCATCATCGTTCCCATCATCAGCACCAGCGGCCTGGCGTTTCAGGGGCATTTTATTGAGCTCGGATAAAAATAAGTTCTCCCTGCGGCCGGAGGGAGGAGGGATGTTAACGGGACCAGAATTTGCAACGGGGTTGGAAGCCACGATCCTGTCTGACGGTGGAGAGGTTTTCATGGGTCTCTGCACCACGGGATACTCGTTGCTGATGGTTTCCACTCCGATGATGTCCAAAAAGTCCTCTCTGTCCATGTCTTCAGCGGGAGGCTTGCTCTTCACAGGCAGCCTGCGGCTGAAGTACCTGATCTTGGGTGTTTGGCCGGTGGTGTAGCGCGTCGAGGCTTGTGGCTCACGGTGCAGCTTCCTGAGCTCATGTGTGAGCAGCATGTCAATGAGGTCCTGTGGAGGGACGTGGAGCTTCAGGGAGAGCTCCAGCAGCTCCTTCACTGTCCGAGGGTCAACGATGGAGGGACGGATCAGCCGTTTCCTCTGCTCCCCGGTCTGGTCTCTCTTCTGTGTCTGGTCGCTCATCTCCAGGACCTTCAACAGGTAGTAATCTACCAGCTTGGTGTCGTCATCAGCATCCCCCTGGTTCTGGCTGCCTCGGCGTTGCATCTCCTCCCTCTCCGCCTCCTCCTGGTCGCCGAGTGCCCTGGCCATTTCTTCATGACTACCGTTGACCAGCTCCTCCGTCTCCTCCCTCTCCTCCATGGGGACCCATTCTTCTCCTCCGACCACATCATCGTAAGCCTGGCTTCTTAGGCTGAAACCGTTCTCCTCCTCGTCATCATCCTCATCTTCATCCCCAAACACGTCTCTCTTTTGGCCGCCGACTGTGGGCATTCTTCCGAGCTCTTCAAAGATGGAACGCAGGTTGGCCAGACTCTGAGGTGTGTACTGTTCGTCCAGGTCCTCCGTGGCACGCTTTGACGCCTCTGCGTTCTCCTCGTCCTCAAACATGAGCGGGTACTTCTTGTGGGGTCTGGGGAAGTTCTCATAGTCTACCGGTGCGCTCGCGGGGGTTTCAGTGTCTTTGGTGCGGTGCCTGTGAGTGCGGCGGTCGTTCCTGGGCGCAGATACGGGGCTGATCTTCACGTCTCTCCCTCCCTGATCACTCAGAGTTTTGAGCAGTGCTTTTAAAAGCTGTTCAGCCGTAATTTCCGGCCTCTTCGCGCCGGGGGCAGGCTGGCGATCCCCCAGACCCTCGTCCTGCTGCGATGCCAACTGAAGCAGGAACTTGAATTTATCCACTTCATCGTAATCCAGAGGTTCGGGTCGACCTCCGTTCCTTTGTTTTAGGTTTTCGATGTACTCCAGGGCTTTCATCATGTCGGAGCCTGGTGGGTAGACCGCCGGCTGTCCATCACTTTCCCCGACTCGGAGCCTGTACTGACGGGGGAGAGACGCAGCCTGCACGGCGCATCCGTGGAGGAGGAAGGCGAGCAGTATCACAGCTCCCCCCTTGGGCAACTTGTGGTGAAAATGCAGCATTATAGGCTATGTATTACCTGTAAACCAAAAGAGCAAAACATTAATAAAGCAAAACTCCAATGTATATATACTGTAATTCAGTAATTCTAACCGTACCGCTCTCCAAAGCTTACGCAAGTGAGTCTGTTTTGATGAAGGATCTGAATGCCTATCAGGTTCTTACGCACTGCAAATGATGCTTGTGCGTAAAGAGATACATTCACATCCCTGGATGAGTCACTCCCCGCGTTGTTATGGGCAACCCTGACATCCGATTTTATCTAAACAACATCAACCTTCCAAATGTGTTCTTCTCGCGGTACTTTACAACAAAAGAAACAACATCGTAATCAACAACTGCTGACGACGCATTTAAACACGATAAACACACGAGCTGGAACAAAAGTGTCGAGATTTGCCAAAAAGAATCGACGAAAAAAAGCGTCGGTACGTAGTAATAGATAGGGAAGGGTTTACATTTGTATAAGAGAATGAAAAATAAAGCCGTTAGAAAAGCTGTGCCTTACCTTTGGAAAATAAACTCAGACAGTATTGAAAGTGTATGGCATCTCCTGTGGAGCGGTGCTCTTCTCTTCTGCTTTCAGCACTTGGACAGCTCCCCCCGTTATATGAGGCAACACCTGACCACCGCGTCATCGCACAACAAACGCAATAGCCGCTCCTAAAAAAAATCCATATAAATGATTCAGGTTCATGATATGGCATACTAAAGATCTGAGTGTATAAAAATAGCTCTGTTTACCGACTGTTGCACAGCGTCGCTCTGTTGAAGCTTTTGACTGAAGAGATGCTCGACAGTCTGCTTCACAAACAATGGTGATGTTTATTTGAAACCTCTTCGTCTTCATGATAATATGTAACGTAAAGGCTGATTCAACGGACTTTGTTTTATTAAAAATGTGAGGGGTTGAAACAAACAATAACAATAAGTGCATCTTATTTAAACATCAACAGCACTGAAGCCTGTTGTATTGGACCAAAACAATAAAAAACAAACATGTATATTCATTATTTATTCTGATTCACAAAAAAACATTTTTCCACTTCTTTCATCAAGTAGCAAAACAATCTTTTTCCATCACTGCTGTCGTCACTAATCGTCGCCATGGCACTCTAAGAGTTAAATCCTCCAGCGATGACTCACAGACCAAAACCACCGCGGAGTTGCTGTCGCAGTCTCTCTCTCTCTCTCTCTCTCTCTCTCTCTCTCTCTCTCTCTCTCTCTCTCTCTCTTCCTCTTCCTCCTCCTCTCTGCTGGCAGTGATGATGACAGACACCCCACTGCGGCTGGGGGGTCAAATCTCTGACATTCTGCAGGTTGACATCATACAGGGGCCTCAGTCTGTCCATCAACAGTCATGAGTTTATGAGGAGATCAGAAGCTTGTTTGGATTTTAACAGTGCAGTCAACATCTGTTTGTTTCTTATTGTTTGTTTTTTTCCAGCATTTATGTACCAGACATTGACATGTCCTGTATCTGCTGAGAGAAATCAATTTGATAATGGTAATAAAAAAGCCTGATAGTAACACAGACACACCTTCACACACCTTTTTGGTAGAAAAAAATACAGTTCCTGCTCAAAGTGTGACCAGTATCTTTGCTATAAATAAATAAGTGACAGAACATGTGATCCACCACAGCCACAGTTGTCGTCACGCTGATTTTTTAATGCAGTCCTGCAGGTAAATTAAACCTGATGATGCAAGTCCTTGGACTAGGCTCTTAATGATGGTGCTTGCTCAAATTGTTATTACAAGTGCAATGCAACAAGAACTGCTTAGTGGCAGGACTCTAATTTGTATATCTAGCTTAGAATAAATCTATGATTTTACATTGATACCTGATTGCAGAGTTCATACCATGTTTCATTTGCATTACAGGAGTGATGAATGATCAATGCATATTTTTGATTCTGATTATTGTGCATTTCTGGGCTGTATCTGAGCTCGCACAAAACTACTGCTGTGTTGGATGATGTCCTTTTTTACTAATTAACTCAAACAATAGTGTGAACCCAATAGATTTATATTAAATGCTGAATGTTGAAATATAATCTCTGCTGGTTACTAGCCCAAATAATCCTCAGGATAACTTTATTTTTTTTTACTAATGCTACAGCATCCTATCACAGCTCTCCCATACAATCTAAAGTGATTTAAGTGTTCCACTTAGTGCTATTCAGGCGTAAGTGCTGTTCCATTTCAGCCTTCCTCTGGGCTGCCCACCTGGTTTTCATTGAACAGCTATAACGGTATCCAACGTGCTTCTTATTTAGTCTACTTTCGTGCTCCTTTCACATCCATTAGAGTTCAGCAAAGTATGCAGTGTGTCATCGGCGCAGATAAGGCGGTGACTGTAGAGATGCTCTGCCAGCTGCAAGCTGTCTGTGGCTGAGGAGCTGCAGAGAGTCTCCTGACGGTAGAAGAAACATCCATCTGGCTGCTGCTGCTGCTGCTGCCTTGTGCTGACTGGATTAGCTCCCTGCGTGTGTGTGTCTGTGTGTGTGTGTGTGAAGAAAATAAAGACTTATATTGAAAATAAATCAATCACTCAGGAGATGAGCAAAACACTGTGCAGTTTGTGATGCTTCCTGCAGCACGGCTCCTGTGACATCACTGCTGCCCATTCAGAAATAGCTCCGCCCTGAGGAAGAACGACTGCTTAAGAGGTCACGACTGCCTGTGCACTGAAGTATCAATCTGTTAAAGGTTACATTTTCGTCCATGCATTAAGGTATTGGAGATTGATGTCCTCATGGAGGTTATTATCTACTGTCAGTTTCAGTGAAGACTGATCGCACACATACAGGGGAATCTTAAGCTGCTATGACATCCAGAAATACATTCACTCACTCATTCATCAGTAATGCTCAAACGTGCTTCCTTTCTGCCACGCTGGGCTAAAAATAGCCTCCACAGCTGCCACAAGGTGTGGGACTAAAAGTCAGTTCACAATAGAAAAAAACCCAGATTTCTAACCGCCTGGTTATGGTGGTACAACTATGAATTTTTAATAGTGCAATTTCTTCAATGAGTTAAAAGAGACTGGTAAACAAAGAAGCCCAACCCACACGCACAGAACTGCTGTGTGGGTCCTTGTTTGTCTGTAGATCCCCTCCTCAGGCACCGGGAGGATTCTGAGCGAGGGATCAGACGGTGTTTAAGTCACGAAACAGAAAGATTCAGTGACTGAGCCTGTCAGCCGCCCCCGAGGATTTTTAATGTGCTGTCTTTGTGCGTTGTTCCATACACGCCATGCAACTGCAGTTTAAAGACAGTATTCTTTAGTACTACTGCCTGGTCTATTTAATAAGTAGAATAATTACTTGTATGGAGAACCAAATACTTACAGCTCTCTTGTATCAAGCCATTTGGAATCTAATAGCTGTGTAATGGCAGAGTTGTTCACTTTGAATGTGATTTCTTACAACCTTTAAACACACATATCTTTATAAAAATGTATAAACATCTCTCCTGTGTGGTGGAAGCTAATAGGGGAGTATAAAAAAGTAGAGAACCACTGGTCTCATTTATCTCCAGTTCCTCACTAATTTCAGTTTTTCTTTGATTAACCACTCTTCAGTCTTCTGTCTGCTTCCTCTATGTCACCACTTTCCAAATCCATTTAATAAAACTGAAACGCCATCGCTCCATCTCTGTTTATCTCCCGGCTTTTCACTGCCTCCTTCTCCTCTCAGTGAAGTGACAAGATTCATCTGCGATGCTGCATCTGTTTACACACACGTCAATCAAAGCATGACTGGATTAGCTCCCTGCGTGTGTGTGTCTGTGTGTGTGTGTGTGTAGAAAATAAAGACTTATATTGAAAATAAATCAATCACTCAGGAGATGAGCAAAACACTGTGCAGTTTGTGATGCTTCCTGCAGCACGGCTCCTGTGACATCACTGCTGCCCATTCAGAAATAGCTCCGCCCTGAGGAAGAACGACTGCTTAAGAGGTCACGACTGCCTGTGCACTGAAGTATCAATCTGTTAAAGGTTACATTTTCGTCCATGCATTAAGGTATTGGAGATTGATGTCCTCATGGAGGTTATTATCTACTGTCAGTTTCAGTGAAGACTGATCGCACACATACAGGGGAATCTTAAGCTGCTATGACATCCAGAAATACATTCACTCACTCATTCATCAGTAATGCTCAAACGTGCTTCCTTTCTGCCACGCTGGGCTAAAAATAGCCTCCACAGCTGCCACAAGGTGTGGGACTAAAAGTCAGTTCACAATAGAAAAAAACCCAGATTTCTAACCGCCTGGTTATGGTGGTACAACTATGAATTTTTAATAGTGCAATTTCTTCAATGAGTTAAAAGAGACTGGTAAACAAAGAAGCCCAACCCACACGCACAGAACTGCTGTGTGGGTCCTTGTTTGTCTGTAGATCCCCTCCTCAGGCACCGGGAGGATTCTGAGCGAGGGATCAGACGGTGTTTAAGTCACGAAACAGAAAGATTCAGTGACTGAGCCTGTCAGCCGCCCCCGAGGATTTTTAATGTGCTGTCTTTGTGCGTTGTTCCATACACGCCATGCAACTGCAGTTTAAAGACAGTATTCTTTAGTACTACTGCCTGGTCTATTTAATAAGTAGAATAATTACTTGTATGGAGAACCAAATACTTACAGCTCTCTTGTATCAAGCCATTTGGAATCTAATAGCTGTGTAATGGCAGAGTTGTTCACTTTGAATGTGATTTCTTACAACCTTTAAACACACATATCTTTATAAAAATGTATAAACATCTCTCCTGTGTGGTGGAAGCTAATAGGGGAGTATAAAAAAGTAGAGAACCACTGGTCTCATTTATCTCCAGTTCCTCACTAATTTCAGTTTTTCTTTGATTAACCACTCTTCAGTCTTCTGTCTGCTTCCTCTATGTCACCACTTTCCAAATCCATTTAATAAAACTGAAACGCCATCGCTCCATCTCTGTTTATCTCCCGGCTTTTCACTGCCTCCTTCTCCTCTCAGTGAAGTGACAAGATTCATCTGCGATGCTGCATCTGTTTACACACACGTCAATCAAAGCAGATACAAAGAATGATATCAGCTCCACAGTGGCCTGTATCCAACACAATAGAAGGAACAACAACACAAACGTACAGTATGCTGGCACACGACTCGGATCTGGGCGTCAGTGAGTTTGGATCTTTTGTGTGTGTTGCTTTAGTTTCATCTCAAGGACTCGCTATTGAACTGAGAGCCAAATGAAATTGTTCAAACATGACGCTGTTACTCTGACTCATTCAAATAGAGAGAGAACTGTTAGAGGGATGTGTGTTTTCCTTTTATTTCCCCTCCCTGTTGCTTTGCTTGTCTGTTATCCGCCTCCTCTTTACCTTTTCACCCTTTCGGCCTTAATCACTCCTTCATGGGGAA